ACACATTGATCAATGGAATCAAATCAAAGACCCAGAAGTAAATCTATACACCTATGGACACCTGATTTTTGATAAAGAAGCCAGACATACACAATGGAATAAAAAAGTATCTTCAACAATTGTGCTGATCAAACTGGATGTCAGCATGTAGAATGTGGTAGTTTGAATGTAATTGGCCCCCATAGGCTCATAGGGAGTGGCACTATTATGAGGTGTGGCTTTGTTGGAGTAGGTATGGCCTTGTTGGAGGAAGGTTTTCTTGAGATACTGACCAGTATGCCAGACCATTTCCTGTTGCCAGCAAGATGTAAGACTCTCAGCTACTTCTCCAGCACCACATTTGCCTGCATGCTGCCATGCTCCCCACCATGATGATAATGGACTGAACCTCTAAACTGTAAGTGAGCCATCCCAATTAAATTTTTTTATTATAAGAGTTGTGGTCATAGTGGCTTATCACAGCAATCCCTAAGTAAGACATTGAAGAATGTAAATAGATCCATATTTATCACCTGTACAAAACTCAACTCCAAATGGATCAAAAACTTCAACATACAACCAGATACCCTGAACCTGATAGAAGAGAAAGTGGGGAACAGCCTTAAATGCATTGACACAGGAGACAACTTCCTGACCAGAACACTGATAGCATAGGCACTAAGATCAACAATTAATGGAACCTGATGAAACTGAAAAGCTTCTGTCAGGCAAAGGACACTGTCAATTTGGCAAAGCAGTGGCTACAGAATGGGAAAAGATTTTTACCAACTCTACATCTAACAGAGGGCTAATAGCCAAAATATATAAAGAACTCAAGAAACTAGATATCAACCAACCAAACAATCCATTTTTAAAAATGGAATGAAGGTCTAGACCGATAATTCTCAACAGAAGAATCTCAAATGACTGAGAAACACTTAAAGAAATGTTCAACATCCTTAGCCATCAGGGAATTGCAGATGAAACTTACTTTGAAACTCCATCATACACTTGTCAGAATAGCTAAGATCAGTAACACAAGTGACAGCTCATACTGACAAGGATATGTAATAAGGGGAACACTCCATTGCTGGTGGGAGTGCAAACTTGTACAGCCACTGTTGAAATCAATATGGCAGTTCCTCAGAAAATTGGGAATCAGTCTACCTCAAGATCCAGCTATACCACTCTTGGACATATACCCAAAGGGAGTTCCATCCTACTATAAGGACACTTGCTCAGTTATGTTCATAGTGGCCTTATTCGTAATAGTCAGAAACTGGAAACAACCTAGATGTCCCTCAACCAAAGAATGGACAAAGAAAATATGGTATATTTATACAATGGAGTATTAATCAACAGTAATGAAATGAAATTTGCAGGCAAAGGGATGAAATAGAAAAAAATCATCCTGAGTGAGATAACCCAGACCCAGGAAGACAAACAGGGTATGTACTCACTTATACGTAGTTATTAGATGTTAAGTAAATGATAATCATGCTACAATCCACAGACCCAGAGAGGCTACGTAACAAGGGGGGCTCAAGCAGGCATGCATGGAGCTCCCTGGGAAGGAGGAATAGAATAGAGTTTGTGGGTGGACTCAAGGCAGGTGGGGATGGGAATAGGAGGGATGCGGAGAATAGAGGGAGAGAGTATGGGAAGAGACAACTGGAATTGGAGGGCACAGGTAGCGGGGGTAGATATGGAAACCTAGTGCTGTGGAAACTCCCTGAAATCTACAAGAGTGACCCTATTGAGAACTCCTAATGATTGAAGATAAGGAGCCTGAACCATCCATCTTGTATAATCAGGCAAGGCTTCCAGTAGTGGGATGGGGACACCAACCCAGCCACAAAACCTTGGACCTACAATCTGTCCTGTCTACAACATGTGCTCAGACAATGGTGGCACAGAGCTAGTGAGAGTAACCAACTAATGACTGGTCTAATTTGAGGACCACACCACGAGAGGGAGCCCATGCCCAACACTGCCTGGATGACTAGGAACTGGAGGCTGGATAGCATCAAGACCAGACTAAGGGTAGAACCAAACATGACTGGCCAAAAAAAACAAACAAACAAAAAACCAAAACCAAATTCAATCCTAATGATATTCTGCTAGGCTCATAGACTGGTGTCTAGTCCAGTTGTCATCAGAGGCTGCCTCCGCACCTGATGGGAGTGGCCACAGAGACCCACAGCCAAAGATTAAGCCAAGAGAGAGCCCAGATTGGAGATCTTCATCTGGTCCCTCCCTCAGGAACTTGGGAAGCCCTGCAGAATGGGAGGAGGAAGAATTATGGGAGCCAGAAAGGTGGAGGGCAGCAGGAGAACACAGCCAGGAAATGAACTAAGCAGGGCTCACGGGTGATCACGGAGACTGGTGACAATCACAGACGTGTATGGGTCTGCACTAGACCCTCTGATATATGTCATGGTTGTTGGCTTGGTGTTTGGGGGCAACTCCTGACAGTGGGAATGGGGATGTCTCTGACTCTTTTGCCTGCTTTTGGGACCCTTTTCCTCCTCCTGGGTTGCCTCGCCCAGCCTTCATATGAGGTTTTTGTTCCTAGTATTATTGTATCTTCTTGTGCTGTGTTCATCTGATGTTCCTGGGAGGCCTACTCTTTTCTGGAATGGGAGTGGATCTGGGGGAGAGGGAAGGTGGAGGAGGACTGGGAGGACTCGAGGGAGGGAGAGATGCAGTCAGGATGTATTATATGAAAGAGAAAATAAAAATAAAACTTTGATGTCTATCTGAACTACAAATTATGCAAGTCCTGTAAGTGATGCAAGTACACAGTTAGTTTCTTTGTATTCTGGTAGGACAAGTAAAGGACTCATTTCTAGTCTTAACTAAACATGTCTTTATGGCGATAATGTGAATCATATACAAGTATCCTGAAATACGGCTTCTATCTACATCGTCTCAGGCTGATTCCATCACATAATTACTACTACTCCATATGAGAGGAAATCTTTTTAAAGTGTAGGTTAGACGCATACATGGACACAAAATGAAACAACATAGTAGTTAATTTTCCTTCTATATTTTTAATCCATTTCTTAACATAAACATACTTGGTAGACTGTTAGGTCAAATAACCCAATAATTAAAGACTATGCATTCCCCATAATCACTACCTCTTGGAAATTTACATTTTAAAATTACGTATTTAATATAAGGGAAAACCACAAAGGAGTTTCCATGCTGATGTACAGAACTATGTTGCAATTATGGAATGTAATTTTATTTTAAGAGTAAGCACTTTAGAAAATCAGAAAAAAGCCAGGCTGGGCAGTGGTGGTGCATGCCTTTAATCCCAGCACTCAAGAAGTAGAGGCAGGTGGGTCTCTGTGAGTTTGAGGGCAGCCTGATTTACAGGGTGAGTGTTAGGACAGCCAGGGCTACACAGAGAAACACTGTCTTGAAAAACAAACAAACAAATAAAAAAAAAACCCTCAGAAAAAATGGCCTGTTTTTTATGAATGCTAGGTGCATTGCTAAATTGAAAGTCTGACTACATTTTTCCAAATAGACATGTAAGACACTATAATAAAGAACAAATATATAGGAAATCAATTTCTTTACAAATCATGGTAATATTTAGTATTCAGTGATATCTAACCCTAGTTTATACAGCTATATCTAGTTTGACTTGTGTGAGGTTTTGTATTCTATACCTAGCACTTCAAAACAAGTAAATAAATCCGTGTTTGAAAGTGAAAGAAGATAATTGAAATGTATGTAAAACAATTTCCTATGTTTGTTACTGTTTTCAAGGATGGGACTTAAGGGATACAAATCTTAGGCAGTCATAGAGAAGGCATAAAATTCGATAAGGATTTTAATGATAAGTGACATTTAGGGCATCAGAGATAGAGCTTTCTTTCCAAGCAAACCACGGACATAAGGAAACACTATATGGAAGGTGTAAGCATTCCTGTTTTTTTGAACTTTAGCTTTCTATTCACAAGATATACCCTGGAAGATTATATGCTGATCATAATGGTATATGCAAGAAATAGCCGAAGCATACTTTTTAAACTGCTGCTCAATGATCTTGTTTATGTTGGGAGTTAGTGAAGTCCTGAGTGAATGTGTTTTGTTTATATTGTTTGACATAGGCACGACCATGTCAGTACCTATCCAGTGAGGCTAAGAAGGTGGGCAAAACCTACCTGTGCTCTGAGTGCAAATGTTGACAGTGTGCAGAAAATGTCTACCATATCTTCTCCTCTTGGATGTTTATGTCCATCCAGAAGACAGCTTCCCCACAGAGACTGCTCCTACCGAGATTAGCTAAGCCTGCCTCCTTGTTCAGCTATGTATAACACCCCTGCCACCTTGTTTATCTGTGTGTAATAACTCTACTTCCTTAATTAAGCTGTATGCAATAATCATGCCCCCCTTCAGATGTATATGATAAATATGCTGAGATTCCAAGATTAAAAAAAGTTTCTTTATTATTATAGTTCTTTTCTTATATACTTCTTAAAATTAAAAAAAAAGTTGCCTGTGACACATTTCTCAGTAAAATTTTCATTGTACCATAATATTATGATTGTCTATATGTGAATAAACATACACAGTTTGATTTCTAGTATATTCTTTCTTTATTATACTGTCTTACATGTCTATTTGAAAAAATTACTCAGACTTTAAGTTTAGCATTGCATCTAGCATTCATAAACAGAGGCCATTTTCTTCTGAGTTTTTTTTAATATATACAGGGGCTGGAGATAAATCCTTTTTAAAGTATACATATATATACACATATGCATAAAGTATATATACATATACATAAGAATATATACATATATGTACAGATATATACATATTTAGAAACAGATGTTATCCCTGAAGAATGGATAGGGTGGGGGTAAAGAGGAAGGAAATGCCTTGAGGAAGAAGTATTTTTGCTTTTATACCTCTTACTATTTCTGTTAATGTTTTTGTCATCATAATAATTTACTTGAAAATACTGCAGTAAATTAAGAACATTTGTATTGTTGCAGCTTTTCATGCAGATTGAGGCTCTCTTCCCACAAAAATGTGGAAGTTGGATCGAGTACGCTAAAAGATACTGCAATGCCCACATCAGGTAGGATAATTATTCTCCATAAGCCTTTATCTGCACATGCTTAAAATTCTAAACATTGAACACTGTCAGCCATTCCTTGTTCCAGTGGTTTTCAAACTTGCTGCAGCTGTGGAAGAATTTCTTTAAGTAAAAGCTTGTATGAGTGACCCACACATAATGTAAAGAAATATCTAGGTGTGGTGGCCTTAATTCCAGCAGTTGGGAAGTAAAGCAGTAGAGTTGCTAGAGGCCATACTTGCCTACATAATGAGTCCTTGTCAAGGATGAAAAAAAAAATGTGCCTGTTCTGGAGATGAGTCTGTACATGGAGGTGTGTTGTCTGGCTTTTCATTTGGCTGTGTGGGGTGTCAGGCTTTGGTGAGGCAGGTTTGGGTGTTATAGTAATGTCTTAGTTACTGTTCTGTTGCTGTGAGGAGACACCATTATCAAGGCAACATATAAAAGAAAGCATGTAATTAGTGGCATGCTTACAGTTTCAGAGGGCGAGTCTATGACCATCGTGGTGGGAGCATGGCAGCAGGCAGGAAGGTGTGGAGCTGGAGCAGTAGCTGAGAGCTTCCATCTCCATCTGATCCACAAGCTGGAGGAAGAGAGCTAGACAGGGCCTGGTGTGGGACTTTGAAATCTCAAACTGAGAATCAAACATTCAAATGTATGAGCCTCTAGGGGCCATCCTCATCCAAACCTCCGTAAGTGAAGAGGTGTACAGAACCTGGTATCAGTCCGTCCAAGAGCCTTCCTGCACTCGGTTTCTTGTTATGTGTTGTAATATTTTTGTTTTAGGAAACCATCTCGATTCAGAGTTTCAGTTCCTTTTAGAAAGAATTATGATTCCCATACATGATCCCTCCTAATATTTGTGTTGTTCCCATGATAGGTCTGTTTGGTATGAGTCTAGGTATTGATTAAAGCAAAAAGCCAAACAAAACAGAAAACCTTAATGGTGACTCTTGCACTGGAGATGCCAAAGTTTATTTGCGTTATATATATTTCTAGATTTACTGTTGGACAACCAGAACAGGCTAAACATTTAATCTGTGTGTCTGTCCTACTCTTTGTTTCTTTTTAAAAATTTATTTATTTTTACTTTATATGCATTGGTGTTTTGCCTGCATGTATGTCTGTGTGAGGGTGTCAGATCCCCTGGAACTGGAGTTAGAGACAGCTGTGAGTTGCCCTGTGGGGCCAGGAATTGAACCTGGGTCCTCTGGAAGAGAAGCCAGCGCTCTTAACTGCTGAGCCACCTCTCCAGCCCCCTATTGTCTGTTCCTTGATTAGTATCTGTCAATGACAACAGAAGTATGTACTCACTTATTAATACAAACAGTATTTCAAAGAGAAATATTTCATCTTTGTGAAATGTTGTGTGATGGTGGAACCTATCTTATGTTTCCTACTTACTAGATAAAGTCATTTCAAGGGCAGCATTGTGCTTCTCAAAGGCATTTTGTTTCTTTTTCTTTGTAATTATGTGTACATGTGTATGTCTGTGACTGGGTATATGCATATGTGGGTGCAGGTACCCATGGAGGCCAGAAGAGGCGTCAGATCTCCTGGAGCCGGTGTTTCCGTCATCTAACATGGGTGCTGGGAACGGAACTTAGGTCCTCTGCAAGAGCCGTGTGTGCTCATCAGGGCTGAGCCATCTCCAGCCTTTGAAGATGTTTTCTTCTACATCCATTTCAGAAGTCTTTCTAATCCTTGATTTCTTTACCTTGAGAGCACTCAGGCTCCATAAGCTTTGACTCAGATCAAGGCATTGCCTGACATTTTAAGTTAGGCTGGAGGATGCTATATTTTCTTCCACAGCGTTTTTATTCTGGAAAGGTGTCATTTTCACACTATAATTTTACAGAATGCAAATTATGGATCGTTATTCCATCCTAGACCCACATTTTATATTTGAAATGTCATGCTGCATTCAAAATAAAGTTAAGTGAAATGCTTGAGCAAGAATGATACTTTGTCTTTAAGAAGCTTATTAAATTCCTGAGGAATGGCCTAAAGAAGCATGTTAATGCAAATGTAATCTGAAGAAAGAACTTAGAGTGTAAGTAACCAAATACCACCTACCCCATTTGATTTGAGAGACATAGGGAAAGGGGATTCCTCAACCAGGATACCCTTACCCAAATGCCATATGTTAGTCACGCTACTGAATTCTATTTGGAGGCAGCTATAAATACACATAGGATTTGGAGAAGGAAGCGCAGTGAGTAAATTGATCACCGTTGTTGGAGCAAGGGAAGGTTTAGAGCCCATTAGCTCCCTGCACACTTTCGGGGGTTAAATCGCTTACTCTGTATCTTGCTATTTTCTTTTGTGTTTCTCCCCATTTTTCTTCAGAAGTGGCAACTTTAATAAATACTCCTGTACTTACAAGAAGAAGACATGTGCCTCATCCAGCCAAGCATCCTCTATCAGGAGCTCTCCTTAGTGTGAGCGTTGGAGCCAGGGGTTATATACAGGCCTTTAATCCCAGCACTTGGAAGGCAGAAACAAGTGGATCTCTGAGTTTGAGGCTATTCTGGTCTACACAGTGAATTCTAGGCCAGCGGGGGCTACATAGTGAGACACTGTCTCAAACTAAAAACAAAGATGTGCTTTGGGAAGATGTCTGTCCTTTCTTATGTTGTGCCTAAAATTTAATTTATCCTTGGGAGATCTGGGGAAATTGTGCTTGCTTCTTATGCACACAGTCCTGGGTTCAGTCTTCAGTGTGGGACATCAAATTCTATGCCAGTTCCACTACTTAGGAGAATTATTTGTCTAAATTTTCTTGAGAGGGGAAATGCAGATTGATAATATATACTCAAGGTGTTGTGTCCGTTTACAGCATGGTCAGGGTCATGTTTACCTCCATGTATCTCCAGCACTCTGCTACTTACTGTTCTTCCTCTGGCTGGCTACATACAGGACTGTCTGTTCCATGTGCAGATGGCTCAGATCTGAAATGATAGTTAATATACTGAATGCTCAAAGGATGTTTGGGGAATAGTTAAATAAGATGAAGGATAAATTCTGCACTTGTGCTTGGAAAGTCAGGTTCATGTTGAAGAGATGTGAGAACATAGAGTCTATAGTTCAGTTCCAACAGACTTCTGATTTTGAATCATCCTATGCTGAGTTGGTGTATGAGGTCATTTCATCCCATCTACTGCCTCTGGTTTGATTTTATTAATCCATTCATTCAAAAAGCATTTTTAGGAGGCTGGAGAGATGGCTTAGTGGTTAACAGCCCTGGCTGCTCTTTCAGATGACCCAGGTTCAATTCCCAGAATCCACATGACAATTAATAACTGAGTACAACTCCACCTGCAGAGGATCTAACATCCTCTTCTTGCCTCCACAGACATCAGGCATGCTTGTGTTGCACAGACATACATTCAGGCAAAACTCTCTCTCTCTCTCTCTCTCTCTCTCTCTCTCTCTCTCTCTCTCTCTCTCTCTCTCTCTCTCTCTCTCTCTCTCTCCTAAGTTCAAGGCCAGCCTGGTCTACAGAGCAAACTCCAGGATAGCCAAGGCTATGCAGAGAAACCCTGTCTCAAAAAGCAAACAAACAAAAAATAATCCAGATTTCACTGAATTGTCAATTCAGGTCCTAACAGGTAATTGCAGTTTTGATGAATGTCATGGGGGGCTGCGGAGGGGGGGGGGGCTGCGGGGAGGAAGAGAAGGGTGCTATGGCTGCGTGTGCCAGAATGAACCAGTCAAGACAGCTCAGAAGCATCCTGTGAGTAAAGCTATTTCCTTTCTTTTCAGGAAGTGTGAATTCTATATGCTAAAGCTAGAACAAGAGAACTCACTGTGCCCTTGAGGAACTAAAGCAGGACCAGCTCAGCTGAACATTCTAGAGCTAAATCAAGATCTCTAGACAAAGACAGTTATTTAGGAGTTAGACAAAGATAGAGTTAGGTAGGAGTCAAATTACAGTCTTGTTCATCAGAAAGGGAATAGGAAGACATTGTGGGTGTCTTCTGTTTTTCTGTTTCTTTGTGGGTGTTGCTTATTGCTATTGTGGGGTGGCTTTTCGTTTTTTTTTTTTTTTTTTTTTTTTTTGCAATAGAAATACATAAGAAAATTTACTCTTTAACCATTTTAAGTTTAAAGTTTGGTAGCCTTAGATACATTCATACTGCTGTAAAGCACCAGAACTTTCCATTTCTAGCACATTTCACCGTCCCTAATCTAAGGCTCTGTACCCATTCAACAGTGCCCTCCATCTCTTTGTTCAGCCTCTGCACTGTGAAGTGGTGAAGTATGGGAGAGTCATGTGTGAGAAGATTTACATCATGTTATTTTTGGGATTATATTTCTACATGATTCAAAATCTTAAACTAATAGAAGAGTAAGCAAATTCATATGTTTTGGAAAAGAGATTAGTGTATTAAAAACATAAGCTTTTTTTTTTTTTGGTTTTTCGAGACAGGGTTTCTCTGTGTAGCTTTGAGCCTTTTCCTAGAACTCACTTGGTAGTCCAGGCTGGCCTCGAACTCACAGAGATCCGCCTGGCTCTGCCTCCCGAGTGCTGGGATTAAAGGCGTGTGCCACCACCGCCCGGCAACATAAGCATTTTTTTACATTTGGATTTTGACCCTTTTTACTACATAAATATTGTTTCCTTTTTTATAGTTGCATGGCATATTATTGAGATTATACTGTGGTTTCAGAGATGCCAGAGATATGAGGGGGTTTGCATTCATTAAGTGGTATATTATTGGGGCTCTACCATAGTGTTTGGAGGGATAGGGGCTTAAGGGAGTTTGTATCTCATGACATTTTCTTATCAGAGGGATAGATGGCTTGTTGAGTTCAAAGAAATGAAGACGTAGGAGATTAAAACTTTGAAAGTTGGCCAGGCGGCGATATCGCATGCCTCTAATCCCAGCACTCGGGAGGCAGAGGCAGGCAGATCTCTGTGAGTTCAAGGCCAGCCTGATCTACAGAGTGAGATCCAGGGCAGGCACCAAAACTACACAGAGAAACCCTGTCTCAAAAAA